AAGGCAGTCACATAAAACAGAACATTTCCTATTTTCCAATGTGATGTCAGTTTCAAATCTGTATGCTGTGCCAAGATTAATTTTAATGAATTCCAGGAAGTGGAGCAAGCAATTTAGGTTGATTTTCTTTGATGCTGAAGGTCTTCAACCTCCACTTCACTCCCTCCTGCTCCATCTCCTCAGACTTCTCCTCTCCCTTCTCCTCTCTCAACCTCTTCCTCCACATCCACTCTGCTATCCACACCCATGGTCATCCGCTCGACCTGGTGATCACCCGGGACCTCAGCGTCTCGGATGTCAACATCACCGACAAGGACATCTCTGACCACCATTTCATCTCCCTCAACTCCCATATCCCTCTCCCCACTGCCTCCAAACCTACCACCATCTTCTACCGCCCGTGGAAGAAGATCTCCCTGAATTCCCTCTCCGCTGCCCTGGAGTCCTCTGAACTCCGCCCCCTCTGGCCCACCTCCCGCACCAACCCATCCTCTGCGTTTACTCTCCTCCACAGCACCCTCTCCACCACACTCAACGCCCTTGCTCCCCTCACCTCCCGAACTGCCTCCTATTCCCGATCCTCACCCTGGTTCACCAGCCACCTCCGCTTGCTTAAGGGCCAGGTGCGGGCCGCTGAACGCACTTGGCTCAAATCTGGCCTAACGGTCCACCGGCACATCTGGCTGGACCACATCAAAACCTACCGCTCCGCTCTCGCCTCAGCCAAATCATCCTTCTATTCCAGGTTAATCCTGGAGGCGAAGGGCAACCCCAGGCTCCTGTTCTCCACCACCAACCGACTCCTCTGCCCTCCCCGACATGCCTCACAAATACTTTCCTTTGCCTTTCACTGCGAGAAAATGCTGGACTTACTTGAGTCCAAAATCGAGGGAATCTGCTCAGCTGCCACTGCCCTCCCAACTTCCACCCCCTCCCTACCCCCAACCCACACAATTACCCATCTGACAATTACCCATCCCTCCTTCCACAACTTTGAACCTGTCACCCCCTCCTCTGCCTTCAATACGGTAACCTCCATGAAGTCCACCGCCTGCTCACTCGACCCCATCCCTACCCCTCTCCTTAAATCCCAGCTCCACCTCCTTTCCCCACTACTCGCTGACATCATTAACCTCTCCCTGTTATCTGGCACTGTTCCTTCCCTCCTCAAAACAGCCACTATCACCCCCACCTTGAAGAAACCTTCCCTCGACCCATCACAGCTATCCAGCTACCGGCTCATCTCAAATCTCCCCTTCCTATCCAAGGTCGTTGAGAGAGCCGTTGCCTCCCAGCTTCGCTCTTTCCTCTCCTCTCACTCCCTCCATGAACCCCTCCAATCGGGTTTCCGTGCTGCCCACAGCACAGAAACTGCTCTGGTCAAGGTCACAAACGACATCCTGACCATGTACGACCAGGGCTCTCTCTGCCTCCTCGTCCTCCTCGACCTCTCTGCCGCCTTTGACACCGTGGACCACTCAATCCTCCTCAACCACCTCTCCTCCCACCTGAACCTTCAAGGTTCTGTCCTTGACTGGTTCAGGTCCTACCTTTCACACCGCCTCCATTTCGTGGCGGCAAACGGCTTCTGCTCCAGCCCCCACACTCTCGTGCAATGTTGTGGAGTCCTGTAGCTCAGTGGTTAGAGCACTCGCTTTGCAAGTGAGAGACCTGAGTTCAATTCCAGGCACAGGGCGAAACCGTGGGCAAGTTTCCTTACTCCACGCGCCAAATAATAATCCCTTCAAAAAATAAAAAAAATAAAAATTGGTCATTTTCAATCCATATGACTGTTTGTGGGACATTGCTGTGCGCAATTGGCTGCCGCGTTCGCCCACAAATATACAGTCAATTCACTTTACAGTGTGTTCTGTGAAGCGCTTTGGGACGTCCTCCTGACGTGAAAAGCGCTATATCAAATGCAAGGATGATTTATTATTATTTATTCCTCAGGGCTCTGTCCTCGGACCCCTCCTCTTCACCCTTTACATGCTCCCCCTTGGTGACATCATCTGCAGACATGGGGTAAATTTCCACATGTATGTGCATGACTTCCAACTCCATCTATCTGCCTCCACCCTGAACTCCAGGACTACTGGCGTCCTGACCGACTGCCTGTCCGACACCAAGTCCTGGACAAGGGTCAGCTTTCTCCAACTCTCTCCACCTCGGGCTTGGCAGCATCGTCCTCCACGGCTGCACACTCAACCTCACTCAGCCAGTCAGGAACCTGGGTGTCTTGTTTGACCCTGAACTGTTTTTTCTACCCTACATTCACGCCATGATCGGCACTGCCTACCACCACCTCTGCAACATTGCCAGACTCCACCACTGCCTCACCCCTCAGGCTGCCGAAACCCTCACCCACGCATTCGTCACATCACATCAAGGCTCGATTATGGAAACTCCTCCTCATCGGCCTTTCCAACTCTTCCCTTCACAAGCTGCAGATCATCCAAAACTCTGCAGCTCGTGTACTTTCACGCACCAGGCTCCGTGACCCTATCACTCCCACCCTCGCCCGACTCCACTGGCTCCCCAGCCTCCAGAGGATCAAGTTGAAGATCCTCGCTCTCACCTTTAAGGCCATCCATGGTCTTGCCCCCTCCTACCTGCTGACTCCCTACCAACCTTCCCGCTCCCTCTGTTCATCAGGCTCCATGTCTCCCACCCAATCCGCCCTACCATTGGTTGCCGGGCTTTCAGCCTCTCTGCTCCCACACTCTGGAACTCCATCCCACGGTCCCTTCGCCTCGCTTCCTCCCTTGCCTCCTTCAAGGCCGGTCTCAAGACCCTTCTCTTCGACCGTGCCTTTGGTCTCCCTCCCACCTCTCTGCCTTCCCTATACCACCCCTCCCCCATGCTCGGGCCCTGATAGGTGACTGTTCAATGCTTTGGGACGTCCTCCCGACGTGAAAGGCGCTCTGTAAATGTAATTTTGTTGTTGTTGTTGTCTGATTAGCAGTGCTTCCAGAAACTAAGTGAAGACTATTATGGCCTTTAATGACTAACCTGCAGAAAAGTGGCATATCACCTGACTTTTAAAGGATCCATTTTTGTTGCCGTTTTGTAAAGATGTAATACACATGGCCTCCTGCAGTTTCAATGATCCTTGCATTTTATATACAGTAGTACCTTTCACATCAGGACATTGTAAAAGAACTTTACAGGATATATGTAAAGTATGTATATATATATATTTTATATATACTTTGTATATTTTGTAGACAAGTACGGTAACCAATTTGCACACACATGTGCCACAAACAGCCATGAAGTGAATGACCAATTTTATTTGGAGATTGGTGGTCAGGACTGCAGGAGAAACTCCCTTCTTTTTTCGAGTTATGCCAAGTTTATCATCCACCTGAACAGGTGAATAAAATCCATTTAACGTTTTAACTCGTCTCCCAACAATTCAGCACACACAGAGCACTGGTTGACTGGAGTTCAAAGTCCTGCCGTGGACTTGATACAACTTGCATTTTTAGTGCCTTCTACGCAGGATACCGTTTCAAAGCATCAAGTGGCAGAGCCTGACTCGGAGCCAGGGGTTGGGGGGTTGTGACAGTAAGCACAGTTGAAGTTTTCAGGCAGGAATTGAAAAAGGGAGGGGGCAAGGCAGTGATTGAGTAGTGTTCCAGAGCTTCAGAGCGATGGCTGAAAGTGCGACCTCCAATGGGAGAGCAGAGGGTGCGAGGATGCTGGTGCCAGTCGATGGATTGGGGAGTGAGTAAGTCCAAGAGGTAGGGATGTGCCATATGGAGTGAATGGATTTGATGAGGATCTTGAAGTCGATCGGTTTGGTGATTGGGAGCCAATGGAGCCTGGCCAGAACTGGTGATATGCGGGCAGCAGAATTCTGAATGAGCTGGATTATTTTTAATCATGATGCTGGGGAGACAGGCCAAGAGTATGTTTCAGTAATATACTAGAGGATAATCCTCCTTTGCAGCCCCACAAATGCCTATTGTTAAGTTACCGACTTCCAGCTGCCAATCATTAGAATCTTCTAACCACATATCAATAACTTCACACCAGAGTGCTCATCTCCTTCCCTCATTCAAGGCCCTCTCAAACTGTGCCCTTTTGCCAGTTTCTTTTATCTTCTCCTCCCCCTCACCTCAGCTTCCACTCAAGCTTGGCTACGTAACCAGTAATGTTAAAACGCTTGGAGACATCCTCCTGATATGAAACACCAACTTAATGTAAATCATAGTGTAAGAGGTACATTGAAGGCATCAATGATGGGTTTCCCCATGTATCAGGGGAGATTGAGGATTTTTTTTAAAAAAAGGTGAGTTATATGGAACACCCTGCCAGCAGCAGTAGTTGTGTACAAATCTGTTAGCTTTCAAGCGGGAACTACAACAACTTGCATTTATATAGCGCCCTTCGCGTGGGGTAGCGTCCCAGAGCGCTTAAACTAACTAGACATCTAAAAAAGCATTAATTTGCAGAAATATGGGGAAAAGACACCCAAATGGAACTGAACGCATTGCTTTTTCAGAGACAGTACGATGGCCAGAAGAATCAGTCTGGTCTCCAACATGGGGATTCTGCCTCAGAGACAAAAGTCTCTAATCTCTTGACTTCAGAGACAAGAAACCTACCAACTAACCAGGCTGACATTCTGAGAATGGGATTTCAAATGCAGTATTCGCAAACCAGAAGTCACTGTAGTTACTTCCAATCACATCACACTGAAATAACAAAGTAAATTTCTGTGGTGTATCACATGCTCAATGTAGATTGGCTGGAAATGTCAACTGTGCTAGCTAAATGATAGTGTCATATACTATCCCGGGATCCGAAACTGTAAAGCGCTCTGAGACGCCGTCTGGTGTGGAGGACGCTATATAAATCCAAGTTGTTGTTGTTTTCAAGGATTCTTGTTAGGCATTATCTTGGCATAGGTGCAAAACTTCTAAAATGTAAACAATGTTGTATTAAGAACAGCCAGCTAATTTAGGTTAAAAAAATTCACACAACACAAAAAGTACAAGTACTGCAGAATACTTTTAATTTGATGTTGTACACAAAAATTATGCCATGAATTCGTATGGAATTGGTTCCAGCAATTGTGGTTTGTTTGCCTTGGTTCGTACGAAGTGTGCTTTTCTAGGCTCCTCAGGCTGTAAAGAGAAAGAGAATGATGAATAATCTTAAATTTTGTGTTCAAGCCACATCGATTCCTTGATATTAAAAAAATGTATGTTTCTCTGTCCCAAAAATGTGTCTTCAGCCTAAATTAAGTCAATTAGGCACATTTGAGCCTAGATACCAAAACTATCTAATCGTCCTTTCTTGAAACAAGCTTTAATCACAGGGAAAACAAAAGGGACAATCCTAACAAAAGCAATACTTCGGTACTTTTGTCTTCTTATCCAATGTGAAACCTCAGTCTGTAGTGGGTGTTAACAACGAACTACAAATGAGATTTTGCATTTCCCTTGACAAAAGTTTGATTGTATTTAACTTAGCTGTTGACTGAAGAAAGCAGACAAGAATGTGTTTGCCAGATGTCAAACTTGACAGTCCCAGACTGTTTCCAACATAACTACAAATCTGGTGGGCTCACTCAGGGATCCTACCAACTGCTGCTTAATCAAATGCCCTTACCTTACGCTTCAGTTCAAACCAGGTCCCCTTCTCCTTGGCCTCAATCTTTTTCTGCTCATTTGCTTTGACACGCTGCAAGAAGCTGTCTCTGCTCTTTGAATGCTTGATATGCTCAATGCGCACGTTGATTCTCTTGGCAAGGATCTTGCCCCTTAATGTGCAATTGAAAATATTTCCAAAATTAAGATACTTCCAACAATGAACCATAATTAAATTCCCAGTTATGTATGATACAGTACTTCAATCCATGAATGGAAATTAATACATTTGTTTTACTCATTAGAAGTGCAGTTCAAAGGGTAAATAGTCAGAAATAATTGTAATCTCCCTAAAAAGAAATAGAAAAGTTGAGCAACACATTTTAATATACAATTTACATTTAGTCTTTCATATCAGGAAAACATTTCAAACACGTCACACAACTGACTAGGAAAGCAAGCTGGGAAGTGGTGGGGGAAAGAGATTAGCAGGAAGGAAACGTCAGTTGTAAGCATGGTCAAAGAGGAAGGTTTTAAGGCAAGTTTTGAAGGCAGACAAGGAATGGGCAAGGTATAGGGACTCTAGGATGGATTTACAGAGAGCAAGCACAGAATGGCTGAACTCTTGCCCATCAATGGTGGGGAGGAGTGGGTAGGGGAAGTGAAGCAGGCTGGCCTTAGCTGAGCAGAGGGAATGGCTGGATATGTAGCTTGGCGGGGAGGGTAGGGGGAGAAGGAAGAGCCAGTGGAGCTAAGCAAGGATGGGGGCGATAGCCTTCTAGTAAGGTGCAGGAAATGACAAGGACCACAGAGCTCTCGATGGTTTGCAGCTTGTGTAGGGAGATGAAGAAGCAGTGAGTTAACGAGTGGTCCTGCATGAAGATGTGGAGAAGAGTTAATGTGAAGTGAGGTAATTCAAAGCACAGCACCTAGCAGAACCTAACAAACCAGTCTTCTCTAATGGCTCGGTCACTGAGAGGCTTGCTAAATTAGCCTGAGGCAGACACCTTGTTATGATACAGAACCCTTCTATTTAACACTGAACATTCCTCAGGTTGGGCAGCTAAGAATATGCTATCAAACAAAACTTCTTAACTCAATTAAGCCATTTAGCAACATGGTTGGATTCATCCATATAGCACATCACCAGTCTACACAGCAAAGAAATATTTAATGAAAAATGTATCTTTTTCTATAATCAGGGTGATTGGAACAGTGAGTGCTTAACTTATGCTTCAAATCATTCATGCTTCGGCTCTATATGCACCTCAAAAAAGGGGATTGGCCCAAAACTTGAAAAAATGTAATCTTCAGGATTCATTCAATGATAAAAATGAAGCATAAATCAACTGTTTAACACCATTTCAGTTAACAGTCACTTCATGAATCAACCATTCCACTCAATCCCTTTACCCCTGGATTAACAAATTGCTTCACCCATATAATTCAGCACTATTGATCATCAAGGCAATCTATTAAAATCACAGGATGTTGACCGTAACAGAATACTGGCTTCCATTTATTTTCCATGAAATAAAATTCAACGTTTCAAGTTATAACTCGTACCCAATTTTGAACATTTACCCATCTATTCCGTAAATGACTTCCCTAAAAGGGTGTAGATGGCTGGCTGCTATTAAGCACTTTGAGACACCCTCCCAACAAGAAAGATGCCAATATAAATATAAGTTGTATTGGAAATGATTACTCTGGACATGACACAGACTCAGAAAGAGCAGACACCTCCCAGAGATAATTTGCTAATAACAGCTGCCTTAGAGCTGGCTAAAGGGAACCGTTCTGAAACACGCACCCAATGCTAAACTTTTTTTTACAGTGAGACATACAAACAACATTTTGTATCAAGGAATCTACAAACATGATCCTAACAAGGAACAATTTTACACCTTTTTGTGACAATTTTACTATTTCCTCTGACAGGAACCAAGTCAAATACAATCATTTGTCTGGGTTTTTAAAAGGAGTATACTTTACCCCACTTGAATGACCAATAAAAAGACACCAAATTTGTCTTATTGGTAAAGTGAAACGGGGAACATGATTTTATTACCAAACGAACAGTTCTATACTCACTTGACTTGCTTGTTGATAATAATGCCTACAGCATGCTGTGTAACATTATATACCCTTCCAGTCTTGCCATGGTAACATTTATGGGGCATGCCCTTTTGAATGGTACCTGTACCCTAAGAATAAGAAAGAGGTTATTCCTGATTTTATAGATACAAAAGACATCTTAAAATATGATAATTAGGATAATTTTTTAAAAATTCTGGCAGACAAAATTCAAGGGTGATTACTGACCTTGCAACTGATACATCATCTTGTCATAACGTTTAAATATCACAAAGCACACCACACAATATTTATTGCAACATGTAGTGCCTATGAATATACATGTGAACACAGCAGCCACTTTGCATGCAGCAATATAATAATAATAATAATCCTTGCATTTGATATAGCGCTTTTCACGTCGGAAGGACGTCCCAAAGCGCTTCACAGAACACACTGTAAAGTGAATTGACTGTAAATTTGTGGGCGAACGCGGCAGCCAATTGCGCACAGCAATGTCCCACAAACAGTCGTAGATTGAAAATGACCAATTTATTATTGTTTTTGTTTTTGGAGGGATTATTATTAGGCTCTGTGTGGAGTAAGGAAACTTGCCCAAGGTTTCACCCTGTGCCTGGAATTGAACTCAGGTCTCTCGCTTGCAAAGCGAGTGCTCTAACCACTGAGCTACAGGACTCCACACAAACAGCCCACAAACAGCCACAATGTGAACAATGTTTTTGTTAATTGATGCAGAAAAAATGTAATATCAAAACGGATTAATCTATACCAAGAGATTTAATACCCATTTGGAAGTAATAATAAGTTAAAATACCTTGATGTCAACAATATCCCCTTTCTTGTAGATGCGGAAGTAGGTAGAGAGGGGAACAGGACCTAAAAAATTGTACCATAATGTTAATTATACATATAAATATACATTGAACAGAGCATAAAATATATTGGGACCAGAGTCTGCCTGGCAGAGCTCAAGTATAGATGTGGGCCTTGAACCTACAACCTTCTGACCCAAGCACACTCTGGAGATTAAGCTAACAACTAAGCTAAACTGATATCACCTAAACACAGCAAGCCCCTTCCCACCATCATGGAGTTCTGGTGAGTAGGATCCAATTCACAATATTAACAAAGTGGATTTGTGCAAACCACATGGCGTTAGGAGTACAGGTTGGAACAAATTTGCTTGCAATTATTTTAACGCACTATTACAAGTGGCAATTCAAAGTCAATACTATAATGTTTAAGAGGATTGGAGACATTTTAAGAGAAATAATATCAAATGAAAAATCAGGGAAATGGATCTGAAGTTCCAATGAAGATCAACATTAACAATTTACATTTATATAGCGTTCTTACAAGCAGGGTAGCGTCTTGGAGCACTGAAGATCACAGCCAGCATGACAGAACAAATGGCCTTCTGTGCTATGATTTGTGTAACTCGATGCCAAGACAATTAAATTAGCCATTGAAAAGATTTTGCTATGAGAAAATTTGTGATTATCAAGACAAATTGCACCATGTGCTAAGAGTGCACAAAAATGACACTTCAGTCACAATATGGTTGGTGTGCTTCCTATTGTGCTGAAAAATTAATGCCCATTTTGCCTCATCCCAAGGTGAAAGGTGCTTTGTGATTTTGTATTGTATCTAAGATCAATCCTCATACAATGGTGCACAAGGCGCATCTTGTAATCCATACAATTTTTTCAGGTCAGCTGGGTACCTGACATACAGAAACCAATCACCATGCTTAAGAGTATGCAAGTTCCACATGTGCATGTCACCGAGGTATGGAAATATACTAGTTATACAAGATAGCAGCCAAAATGAATATCCCAATATGGGCCCAGATTCAATCCCTGGCTTCTGGAGTTAGTTAACTGCCTCCAACCCAAATTGCAGGAGAGTGACAATTCCTCTCCACCCGCGAAAAACAATTTCTATGTAGAGTTCACAATCGCCATGCGGTAAATCCAACTGAAAAATTGCATTTCGGTGAAACGGCAACGATATCCGCAAATAAGTGAGATTACAATCTGTGTTGCGGCTAAGAAATTGCATTCCGACACAAAATGCGCTTTTAAAGTTGCATTTAACCCAACCGTTCGTTAGTTAGCTAAGGGTAACTCACCATGTTTGCGGAAGGGCCTTGCGAACATGTACCTCGTCCCCCTCCTCTTACCCCTGGTGTTAGTCATCTTGAATCCTTACTGCAGGTGAAGGGGGTAAAGGGAATATTACGGACAAGAAAGCATCCAGTTTTGAAAAAAAATGCATACATTGATTTCCTCCCGTTCATTTCTCAAAGCGCAATCGCCCAGCGTCGGGGCAACCCGAGGGGCCGGCGCCCCTCACACCTTCAACACGTTGGGTTATTCCAGCCGAACACGATGCATCGGCCCTCCGTAAACTCCGACACCCCCCCCCCCCCCGCGTCCCCACACAAACCACCCCCCAAACTGGTACCTTTCAACCGCACTTTTCTCTTTTCCTTCACTCCCTTATTCCAGACCCTCCTCCCCCCCCCACAATTTTCTATGTGGAATTCACAATCACCATCTTGTAAATCAAACGGAGACGTTGCATTTCGATGAAATAACACGACCCCCCAACACACACACGACTCTGCCTTTCCAACCCACTTCATCCTTCGCTTCTCCACATTATTCCAGAAACCCTCTCCCACCCCCCATTTATTTTCCAGTAGCGCCTCGGGACGTCCTCCTGACGTGAACGGCGCTGCACAAATTGAATTTGCTGTCGTCTTTGTAGTACGAGTGTAACCGTTCATATTCCCCCTATAATCCGAGCGGTTATTCCCGCATTACAAAAAAAAATTTAAATCTGCAAATTAACTGCCGGCGCCTTTCCTCCCCGGCGCCACATGTCAGGCTGCGGCCTCCAAGCCGCAGTGAATGGGAACCGGAACAGCGGAGAAACCGCCTTATTCTCCCTTTTCCGCTCCAAATCCGCCACCCATCACACCCCACCACAACACCCGGTGCACGGGTGCTCGCTGGTGCGCCGGGGCCGGGTTTATGGCCGGGTTTTGCCGACCGCCGTGCGAGAGCGGCGCCTCACGCTCACCTCCTGCAAGATGGCGGCTCCGCGGAAAGGGCGAGCGCCGGGGCCTCGCACTCCCTACATGGCAACCGGAGGGCTGACCGCGCAACCGCCTGCCTGGCCGCCAGAGACAGAGAGAGAGAGAGAAGGGGGAAAAAAAAGAACCTCCGAAGCATCAATTCAACTCGCTCATCTGCAGCTCACGTCTGTCAATGAAATGCAAACTTTTGCACAGCTATAGAATGCGGTAATTTGTTTATGTATATTAAAAAAAGGACGGGCTGTCCGGTTATGTTTTTGAGGACCCCTCTCCCCCAATGAAAGGATCACGTGACTGTTCGGGCGCTGCTGCCCTTTGAGCTGTCGCTGTCGCTGCTCTTGTGTTCGTTCTGTGTAATGTCGGGGTCTAATCTGCAGTAATTCTATCAGGAGCGCTGTTGGAATCTTTCTGAACCCTCCGAAGCTATAAATAAGACTAATTTAGTCACGTCGACCCGTGATTGCTTGTGGGGCACCGTTGTGCGCCATTGGCTGCTCGGTTCGGCCCCACAAAATACACAGTCACCTCAGCCTATTATAATAATAATCATAATCCTTGCATTTGATATCGCGCTTTTCGCGTCTTCTCGACGTCTCAAAGCGCTTCACGGAATAGACTATAAAGTGAATTGACTGTATTTGTGGGCGAAACGCGGCAGCCAATTGCGCACAGCAGTGTCCCACAAACAGTCGTGGATTGAAAACGACCAATTTTATTATTGTTTTGTTTTTTTGGAGGGATTATTATTAGGCTCTGTGTGGAGTAAGGCAACTTGCCCAAGGTTTTGCCCTGTCTGGAATTGAACCCAGGTGTCTCGCTTGCTCTTAACCACTGAGCTACAGGATTCTGAAGCACTTTGAGACGTCAAGAAGACGTGGTAAGGCGCGATATAAAAAATGCAAGGATTATAACTGCTTGGGGAGGGACATTGTCGTATGTAAATTGGTTGCCGTGTCAAGCCAACAAAATACACAGTCACTACAGCTTACAGTAAAATCCTGTGAATCACTTTGAGACATCTCGCCAACGTGATAAGGTGCTATATCAAATAATAATAATATTCCTTGCATTTGATATAGCGCTTTTCACGTCGGGAGGACGTCCCAAAGCGCTACACAGAACACACTGTAAAGTGAATTGACTATATTTGTGGGCGAATGCGGCAGCCAATTGTGCACAGCAATGTCCCACAAACAGTCATAGATTGAAAATGACCAATTTATTATTGTTTTTAGTTTTGGAGGGATTATTATTAGGCGTGTGGAGTAAGGAAACTCGCCCAAGGTTTCGCCCGGTCTGGAATTGAACTCAGGTCTCGCTTGCAAAGCGAGTGCTCTAACTACTGAGCTACAGGACTCCACATGTAAGGATTGTTATTGGATACAACTGCACTTTTGCATTTATTTTAGCGCCTCTCACGTCAAAGGAGGCCTCAAAGCTTCTCACAGAGCCAAAGCAAACTTGGCACTTTATTGATTTTTAAAGGGAATTAATTGAAATAAAGCACCTAGTTTTGCCTTTTTTAAACAAAAATGTCATTCACTATTGTTTTTAATTCAGTTTATTTAATCCAGTTTACAAAATTATATGTGAAGCCTGAAACCATTCAGTTATGGACCCGTCGAGCCTCAAACCTTTAATTTTCTTCATTATTCCAACCCAACAAGATTCAATCTGAACATTCACCCATGTGATGTGATTTACTCATTTAATCACGTATTCTCAAAATTGAGAATACTAGGCAGTGAAACAAAAACAGAAGTCACTGGGAACACTCAGCAGGGCAGGCAGCATCTATGGAGAAAGGAAAGTGAGTCAAGGTTTCGGGTGCACAACCCTTCATCAGTTCTGACGAAGAGTCGTGGACCTGAAGCGTTGACTCACTTTCTCCATAGATGCTGCCTGCCCTGCTGAGTGTTCCCAGTGACTTCTGTTTTTGTTTCAGATTTCCAGCATCTGCTGTATTTTGCGTTTTGTTAATACTAGGCAGTGAGGCAGGTCAGATTGCAAACCTGTTTATGTAGCTGCTTTGTTTTTTTTCTCTCCCGTGGGGAGGGGCCTCCTCTGGTACGGTACAGATCCTTGTGGGAAGGGGGATGCAGAAACTCCCAACATTTTCCAAAGTTGTCCAGCACTCCAAGACTCTATCCTGCATGGCAGGCACAATATAAATGCAAGTTGTCATTTTTAAAGCATGATCCCAGATGGTAATGGCAGGCAACTTATTCATCCAGAGCTGTTAAGAATCTCAGATTCATTGGCTCCCCAACACTCAGAGGATTCAGTTCAAGATCTTGGTCCTCACCTCCAAAGCCCTCCACAGCCTTGCTCCTCGCTACCTTTGTGACCTCCTAACCCCGTACCAACCTGTCCGTTTCTTCCACTCAGCAGGCTCCAGCCTGCTTCACTTCCCCTGTCTTGCCCAGCCCACCTCACCCTCTGGAACTCCATTCCACAGTGCCGCCCCTCGCCCCCACCCCTCCCTTGCCTCCTTCAAGATCCATCTCAAGACCTTCCTCTTTGACTGTGCCTTCGGTTACCCTCCTACCCTACCCTCTCTGCATTCCACTCCTCTTGATCCCAACCATTAGCTTGGGTGTGGATCCCTGACTGATGTGAAAGGACCTATACAAATGTAATTTTTTGTTGTTTGTTGTATTTATTCTTTTGTGGAGTCCTGTAGCTCAGTGGTTAGAGTACCTGCTTTGCAAGTGAGAGACCTGAGTTCAATTCCAGGCAGAGGGCGAAACCTTGGGCAAGTTTCCTTACTCCACACGCCTAATAATAATCCCTCCAAAAAACCAAAAACAATAATTAAATTGGTCATTTTCAATCTACGACTGTTTGTGGGACATTGCTGTGCGCAATTGGCTGCCGCGTTTGCCCACAAATATACAGTCAATTCACTTTACAGTGTGTTCTGTGAAGCGCTTTGGGACGTCCTCCTGACGTGAAAAGCGCTATATCAAATGCAAGGATTATTATTATTATTATTATTATTCTGTCCTCCGCGATAAGTATCAAGTCACTCTGTGGCTAGAGAGTAAAGTGCAGCAATAAGTCTTATAAACTTGAAGGTTGCAGTTTTTAAATCCCTATCTCAGCTGAGGTCATTGATCTCAACTAGGCCAATAGCTGGGCGATACAGTTTACCTCATTGCCAACTTCACAGTTAGGGAGAGGAAAATCAGCCATGCTTTTCATTCCTGATCACTATTAAGAGGCCCCAGCGGGAAGGTATACTTGTGTGGACGTGAGGTCAAGACAGGATTGGGAGTAATTTGATGCCTCCAGCAGTTGAACAGCTTGACAATGTCACAGCTCACACAAGGATAAAGGACTCTTGGGTAAGGCCTCAGAGGACAATTGTTGCCTGTGAAAGGGAAAGAAGGAGATAGATGTTTTCCCGACAAGTGTAAAAGAGCAAGAAAATTGAAAGAAAAATATTAGCAAAAGTTATATCACTATCAATTCTGCTAGTGGAAATTGCACATATATTGAACTCCTTAACTCCTTAACCTTCGCTGCCTATCCCTCAGTCTCACCGAACCTGTAATCAATCTTAGAATCAGGTTTAATTCTGCCTTCAGCTCTATCTTCGTTCAAACACAGGTGAAATTCCCCCCTATCCTTGCCCTTGACGCCTCCCCAATTTTTCTACGACAACAACTTGCATTTTTATAGTGCTCTTCACGCAGGATAGCGTCCCAGAGGCCGTCACAGTGGCGGAGACTGACAACGAGCCAAGGGGAGAGGGAAGGGGGAGGTGAGCATAAGCACAATTAATTTTTCTAATGCACAACTCATCTGTCTCCCCAGTTCCACTATTAACAAGGTCGAAATTATTCAAAACTCCCTGCGCTGTCATCACCCCAGTTCGTGCCAGGCTGCACTGGCTCCCTGTTGCAGAAAGGATTGATTTCAAGATCCTCACTGTCACTTTCAAATTGCTTAGTGCCCTGGCACCTCTCTGAACAGCACATATCCCACCCCTCTACCTGCCGCCTTCATGTGGAGTCCTGTAGCTCAGTGGTTAGAGCACTCACCTTGCAAGCGAGACACCTGGGTTCAATTCCAGGCAGGGCAAAACCTTAGGCAAGTTTCCTTACTCCACATGCCTAATAATAATCCCCCCCCAAAAAAAGAACAATAATAA